GCTACCATGGTGGTGGGCCTTTGAATCCGATCCAGATTTCAAAGGACATATCCAAGGTTACTGAATTCTCTCAATAAGCTTCAGCATCATCGGGTGCAGCTACACTGAAGAATTGATGCAGTTTGACACCACTTTAATGACAATGCTGTGGAATCAACTACATTGAAGGGTATTGAAGGAACTAGTGGAAGGAAGCCATTTAGGCAATCATCTTTGAGGGTTCTTGGAGAATGGGAGAAGTCCCAGCAGATTGGAGAAGGGCAAATGTGACCCCTATCTATCTTCAAGACAGGATAAAAGGATGACCCAAACAATGACCAATGTCCGGTCAGCCTCACATCAATACCAGCCAAAATTCTGGAAAAGATCATTAAGGAAGTGGTCTGCAAACACTTAGAAACGAATGCAGTCATCACTCATAGTCAACATGGATTAATCAAAAACAAGTCATGCCAGACTCATCTGATCTCTTTTTTCGATAGAGTTACAAACTGGGTAGATGTAGGGAATGCCGTGGATGGAGCATATCTGGATTTCAGGAAGGTCTTCCTTCAACAAAGTCCCCCATGACCTGCTGGCAAGGAAACTAGTCCAATGTGAGCTAGGCAAAACTGCGCTTAGGTGGATCTGGAATTGGTTAAGTGAACAAAACCAGAGGGTGGTTCTCCCCAATGCTTCCACTTTACCCTGGAAAGAAGTGACAAGTGGAGTGCCATAAGCTGGGTCCGTCCTGGCCCTGGTCCTGTTCAGCATCTTTATTAATGATGTAGATGAAGGGCGAGAAGGCAGGATCATCAAGTTTGCAGACAGAACCAAATTAGGAGGTAGAGTCAGTACTCCAGAAGACAGGAGCAGAAATCAAAACTATCTTCACAGATTGGAGAGATGATGGGCCAAAACTAACATAATGAAGGGACAAATGCAAGATATTCCATTTAGGAAGAAAAAAGGAAATGCAAAGAGACAGAATGGGGGATGATGCCTGGCTCGACAGCAGGACAGGCGGAAAAGACTGTGGAGTCCTTGTGGGGAAGAAGGGGAATATGAGCCAACAATGTCATGCAATGGCAAAAAAAAAAAAAAAAAAAAAAGCCAATGGGATTTTGACCTGCATCAATCTAGTGCCTAGCTCCAGGGAAGTCATGTTAACCCTGTATTCTGCCCTGGTCAGACCACACCTGGAATCACACTGTGTCCAATTCTGGGCAAAGCAATTTGAAAGGAGACTTTAAGCTGGAAAGTGTCCAGAGGAGGACGACTCAAAGGATCAAGGGTCTAAAGAACAAGCCCTATGAGGAGTGGCTAAAAGAGCTGGGCATGTTTACCTGCAGAAGAGAAGGCTGAGAGGAGACATGATAAAGGCCATGGATCAAGATGTGAGGGGAAGTCATAGAGAGAAGGGAGCAGGCTTGTTTTCTGCTGCCCTGGAGACTAGGATGCAACACGATGGCTTCAAACTACAGGAAAGGAAGGAGGTTCCTATTGTAACTCAGAGTAGTTTTCACCTTGCTCCAGACACCACCACACCAAGGCTGTAGGCTTTTGTAGTTTATTGAGAAAGCAAAATCAAAACAAGGAAATAGAAATGCAATAGTTCCATAAGCAAAACAGAGACTTAAATGTAAAGGCAAAGTTCCCAAGATCCAAAGGCAAAAACATGAAGCATAATCCTTTAGCAATGGTCAAACAAACGTCCATGGTAATCAGTTGAAAACAAGACCCAAATCCCAGATTCAGGAAGCCAGAAGCTTGCTGCTAAAAGCCTAGGAAATCTCCAGAAGTTAACACGGGAAGAGCAATGTTGGACTGACAAAAACTGCCTGTCAGCTACAAGACTAAATACCCTTTGCGAACATGAAAGCATTGCGTTGACCTTTGGCACCATTGGCTTCTCGCTTGCTGGCCAAGCGAGTGCTTCTCCGAAGCCTTAATTGCAAATGATCTTGTCTGCTCATCAATTCATTATCTTCAAGGCTATGCAACCTCTTATCTGGGTCCAGCTGGGACAGATCCTCCACCTGGCTGTGTGGGATTTCGTTCTTGCTATCAGTCTAACTAAAGGAACATTCCTTTCCCTGGGGACTGACTTGGTGTTTCTCCTTCAGCAGCCACACTATCAGCCCCGTCTGAAACATGTACAGGAATCTGTAAACCATCAGTCTCCTCATCATCCTGCAGGAAGTCAGGCTCAAAAGGCCCAAAGTCAGGCCCAGAAGGCACAAACAGCTCAACTTCAGACTCAGAGTCAAGCTGAGTCACAACAATTCCACCTGAACATGAGGAAGAACTTCCTGACTGTAAGAGGGAGCAGTTCAGCAGTGGAGCTCTCTACCCTGGAGTGTGGTGAAGGCGCCTTCCTTGGAGGCTTTTAATTAGAGGCCATCTGTCGGGGTTGCTTTGAATGTGATTTTCCTGCTTTGCAGAATTGGGTTGGACTGGATGGCCCACAAGGTTTCTTCTAACTCTAGGATTCTATGATTCTATGAATCGCAGGGTTGTGGTTTTACAACGTCTTTAGCATTCTCTTCAAAAGAGGGTTGACTCTTCATCAGACTACAGCTCCTCGCATTCCATAGCATCGAGCTGTGGCAGTTAAAGCAGCATCAAACTGCATTCATTCTTTAGATAGTTGAAGGCTTTCATGGCCGGAATCACTGGGTTGTTTTGAGTTTTCCAGGCAGTATGGCCATGTTCCAGAAGCATTCTCTCCAGACGTTTCACCTGCATCTATGGCAGGCATCCTCAGAGGTTGTGACGTCACCTATCTTTGACTATTCAAGACATGGGAAAGAAATGGAGTGCAAGGTAAATCCTGTTTCAATGTTGATGGTGCAACTATGCTTCCTATGGCATACAACTGGAGAGGCTTTGGCATTGACTCTGCTGGGAAGTGTAGTCCAAACTTATTTAGAAAGCTGCACACTTCTCTCCTCTCGTGTAGAGGTTGTGGAGTAGTCTGTGAGTCTTCCTAGCTCTTGCTCCTTCTACCCACCTGCCACCCAAGGCACCCATTTCATTTTGCCCATTGCTGGAGCTCCTTCTTACTCCTCATCCACAGAAGCAAACCAGCTGGTAAGGAATGTGCTTGCCAGGCGCCTCCTTTGCCCTTGCTCTGGCTCAGGTGTGAGCCTGCCTAAAGGCTTCCTCCGATTGCAGGTTTGCTGCTGCTCCTGGGCTCAGTCAATTATAGGCCTTGCCAAGCAAAGGTCAGCTGCTGAGATGGCCCACGGGGCTCCAGATGGGGCTGCAAATTACTTTTGAGAAAAGAGGCCGAGAGTGGCGACTAACCAGAGCAATCCCAGGTGCCTAGCGAGTATTGCGCGGAAGTATATTTTGGTATTTATACCAGAACTGCCTCTCCTTTTTACGGTGCCCATCACATACTAGGAGGTGAACAAAGGCGAGCCAGGATTTCTGATTTAGATCAGCTGCAGTTTTTTTCCTCCTTCTCCAAGAAGAAAGGTTACTATTTCTCCACCTTTGGGATTATTAGTTTCTCTTTGTTCTTGTGCTTTCCGCAGAAGACATAAATCATACCAAGCCTTCCAAATAACTTGGAAACAGGAGTGTTCGAACCCACACGATCTCGTCGATCATCTGAAGAGGCCCTGGTCGTGCTCCCACCTCCTTCGCAGGCGCGATTGGTGGGGACGAGGGAGAGGGACTTCTCGGTGGTGGCCCCCCGACTCTGGAACTCACTTCCCATGCCTCAACTCTGGCAGTCTTTAGGAGGAGCCTGAAAACATGGTTGTTCCAGTGTGCCTTCCCAGAATAAGGAAAACTCTCAGCAATATGCCCTCAAAATACACTTTACCATTGAGTTAGGACCGACTGTGTTCCCTCACTTCTCTCTGAAAATGTTTACGTCACATCAGCATTATTTTGATTTTAATCTATTACATTTGGCGCGYCCATTGGTTTTTAAATGCTTGTATGCCACTGTTGATTGTTTATTGCTTATTTTTGTTTATGTGATTTATATGAATTGTATTGTATTGATTGTTTTATTTGATTTTTGTTTATTGATGTATTGTGGGCTTGGGGAGAAGGCAACAGGGTACAAATAAAGATGATGATGATMATMATMATMATTATTATTATTATTATTATTATTACTATTATMATGGTGGACATCGCATTTCATCACCAGGTGGGATTGCCAGTTTCTTACCCCATCCTGGGTCTTTGACAAACAGCTTGGTCTGCAGGTCTTTGATGGTGATGATTCTATATTGATAGCAGCTAAGATGGTGTTCCCTGGAAGCTTGTGGATGGAATTACTTCAAGCATTCCTCAAGCTGCAGGACTCATCATGGAAAGTGAAAAATACCCAAACCAGGAATCAAGAGTTGTACCCAAGACTATCACAGAACAGACAACAGAAAATGCAGAAGTTGAAAAGGCCAATGAAGTTCCAGATTGCCTCAGTAGTATAGTGTCTGGTCTAGTCAAAGGAAGTACCTCTCCATAAAAGTAAACACTGACACTGAAATACAACACCACCTGAGCTCAGCAAGTGCAGCATTTTCCAAATGAAGCAGAATAAGCCCTACAATGCACTCTAAACACCTTTGCAGAAGCATACAAGAAGCTTGGTCTCTCATTGAACATCAAGAAAACCAAAATGCTCTTCCAGCAGTCACCAGCCCATCCTTCTGCAATGCCAGAAATCGAGTTTAAAGAACTTTTAAAGAAAAAGTTGACTATTTCCGCTATCTTGGCAGCCACCTCTCCGTAAAAGTCAACATTGACGCGGAAATACAACACTACCAGAGCTCTGCGGGTGCAGCATTTTTCCAAATGAAGCAGAGAGTGTTTGAGGATCGGGACATCCGTAGGGAGACAAAGGGGCTTGTTTGTAAAGCTATTGTCCTCCCAACCCTGTTATACACCAGCATCCCGAAGGCAGGAGAGCCTGGGCCCACGGAGGTGGAGGGCAAAGCACTTTGAATTGTGCTCGGAATTGGATCGGCAGCCAGTGGAGCTGACATAGCAGAGGGGTGGTATGTTCCCTGTATGACGCTCCGGTGAGTAATCTGGCTGCCGCCCGTTGGACTAATTGAAGTTTCCGAACAGTCTTCAAAGGCAACCCCACGTAGAGTGCGTTGCAGTATCTATTCGGGATGTAACAAGAGCGTGGACCACTGTGGCCAGATCCGACTTCCCAAGGTACGGGCGCAACTGGCGCACAAGTTTTAATTGTGCAAAAGCTCTCCCGGCCACCACTGAGACCTGGGGTTCCAGGCTCAGCGATGAGTCCAGGATCACTCCCTAGCTGCGAACCTACGTCTTCAGGGGGAGTATAACCCCATCTAACACAATTCACTGATTCCTTACATGCTCCCAGCAACTTCCACTTGCTTATCCTTTAATGTAATATTTGCCATCCTCTGTCAACAATATCCTCCAGTCCTCTTCCTAGGGAAATCCTCCAGTCTTTGTGCCAGAAGGTAAGTGGGCATCAAACGGGCACTAGGAATGGGAATTCACAAAATCCAATTGCAGAAGACTGTAATCTTCCTGGTCATTCCATCTCGGACTATAGAACAGCTGTCCTTGAGCAAATCTAGAGGAAAATCGGAAAGCAAAACAGCACAATTGGACTATATCCAGAAACCCCAGTCCATCTGCAGCAGATTTAACAAACCCAATGGTTTCATGGCACAGTATAATATCGTAACACCCATTAACACCCTCTCCTCATGATGGAAACCTTTGCCCATGTGAATGGCAACCTTGGCCAGTTTGCCACGTCTTCATTCTGGCTCCCAGCCCGCATCACGCTACATCCCAATAATACATTAGAGCATTTGTAGGGTTATCTATTCATCTTGCCTTTAGGCAACATCTTCCCTCCTGTCTCAGTCCAGCAATGGTCATTGTTAAAGCTGGATTTGTCAGTCCACCGTTAAACTTAGAAGTTTTGCATTTCAGTGCCTGTTCACACACAGAGAGTCTGCTTATAAAGATCTGTTTGCAGGTACCTGAGAAAGTAGACTGAGGTGTATCTTGTGTCTGACTTTGGGGGTTGGTGCTCATCTCCATTTCTAAGCTGAAGAGCCGGCGTTGTCCATAGACACCTCCAAGGTCATATGGCTGGCATGACTGCATGGAGTACCATTATCTACCTATTGATGTACTCATATTTGCATGTCTTTGAATTGCTTGGTTGGTCAAAGATGGGGCTAACAGCAGGAGCTCACACCACTCCCTGGATTCAAACAGCTGACCTTTTGGTCAGCGAGCTCAGCAGTTTAACCCACTGCACCACCGCACCACCACAGGCACCAGTGAGGGCACTGGGGGCTCCACCGGGGTGTGTCTACACTGAGGAATTAATTCAGTTTGACACCACTTTAATGCCAGTTGCTCCATGCTTTGGATTCATGGGAATTGTAGTTTCGCGAGGCTAACAGCCCTTTTTGGCAGAGAAAGCGAAAGGCATTTTAAAACTGCGACTTCTCTGTATCCGTAGCATTGAGTCATTGCAATTAAGTAGGTTCAAATTGCATTAATTCTACAGTGTGGGCGTCCCCTTAGTCAACGAGAGCTGAAACTTCCAATGTCATTCTCTCGGAGCCAGAGGTGCTACAAGATCCTTTTGTGTGTTGATATTCTAGAATAATATGGCAATATCTCTGACATTTGCCACCTTGGCCCCCAATCTGATTTTATGCAGCCCCACACAGAGCAGTTTCCATCTGAAATGTTGGAGGGCACGCTATATAAGATGAAAGGTATAATCCAGCATTTCTCAACATGGGAATCAGGAGGCTGGGAGGAGGAGTTGCGAGGGGGACTTCAAAGGGGTCACCAAAGAGCATCAGAAAACAATATTTTCTGTTGGTCATGAGGGTACTGTGTTGAAAGCTTGGCCCATTTCTATCATTTGTAGGTGAACTATAAATCCCAGCAACTACAACTCCCAAATGTCAAGGTTATTTCCCCCAAACTCCACCAATAATCAAATTTGGGCATACTGAATATTTGTGCCAAGTTTGGTCCAGATCCATCATTGTTTGAGTCAACAGTGCTCTCTGGATGTAGGTGAACTACAACTCCAAAACTCAAGGTCAATGCCCACCAAGCCTACCAAGCCTAGGTAATTTTCAACGGTAAGCAAACAATATTTTGCCCCCCCCCAACCAATCATTGATATATATTTTCTGTTCGTCATGGGAGTTCTGTGTGCCATATTTGGTTCAATTCCATCATTGGTGGAGTTCAGAATGCTCTTTGATTGTAGGTGAACTATACATCCCAGTAACTACAACTCGCATATGTCAAGGTCTATTTTCCCCCAAGAGCGCCTCAAGAGCGCCCCTGGGAAAAATCAGCTATACTGCAAATGCTTACTTTGCGTAATGGGTTGAGCCACCCCTGGTCTCAGATGGAAAAAGTCAAATACGTTTGTGACATGGTTTTCAGTAATAAATTTGTTACCTTCTGCTATGTTGTTGTTCATTCGTTCAGTCGTCTCCGACTCTTCGTGACCTCATGGACCAGCTCACGCCAGAGCTCCCTGCCGGCTGTCACCACCCCCAGCTCCTTCAAGGTCAGTCCAGTCACTTCAAGGATGCCATCCATCCATCTTGCCCTTGGTCAGCCCCTCTTCCTTCTGCTATAAATATATGAAAATAGGTCATAAAGCCTTGATTAAATGATACACACTATCTAACATAGGAAGAGTCCTTGTTGTTGTTGTTAGTGTCTTGGCAAATTGACCAAGGCTTAACCCTTATTATCCAGTCTGATGTCCTTGTCCTTAGCAAAACTATAAGTTACTATAAGTTACTATCTTTTATGTTCGACCTCATAAGGAGGCCCAAGCATTGAATGCACGCTGGAAAAATGACGAAAGGCAAAAAAGACACATGGATGATTGGAAAACTAAACAGAAGCTCCCCAGTGTTCCAACACTTTATTGCCGGTGTGATAATACAAATATTTCCCTACCGTGGTGGGAAACAATGGGGCGGGAAACGCCTCATGCGAGGAAGCCAAAAGTGGCACTTAAAAGGCACCGGAGCAGACCTCATTTGAGAAGCTGGCAACTCCGCAACGTGGGTTGCTGATGAGAGACGGTTTAGAGATCTCGCCAGATGGAGGCCGATAAGCTGCGAATGATGGTGGGAGTACAAGCCTCGAAATTCTCACAGCCTGTGATGGATGGGTTCCTGTTTTGTGATCTTTGGGGGAGGCCATGGGCCCTTGTGGCAAGTGGGTGGGGGGCCCAGGAGAACTCAGCGCCTGCTTGGCTCATCACTGGGGAGGGGAGGCGTTGAACAGATGCAGGCCTGATGATGGATCCGTTCCCCTTCCGGAAAAAAGAAGGAGGGAAGGTGCAAGTCGAGGAGGAGGAAGCAGCGGTGCGATGGATTCCCCATACTGATGACTTCCCTCCCAGCTAGCAGCCTTGCAGATTCATTTCTGTGGCCATGAGTCAGTTGGTGTGTTTCACATATGTGAGACGCGGTTGCATATCTTTCTTCGCTTGCAGAACATCTGGGTTCAGTTGAAAGTTGCAGAAGCAGAATTGCGCATTCAATCCCATTATGTGGCGCAGTGGGTTAAACCCTTGTGCCGGCAGGACTGAAGACTGACAGGTTGCAGGTTCGAATCCGAGGAGAGCGCGGATGAGCTCCTTCTGTCAGCTCCAGCTCCCCATGCAGGGACATGAGAGAAGCCTCCCACAAGGATGTAAAACATCAAAACATCCGGGCATCCCCTGGGCAGCGTCCTTGCAGATGGCCAATTCTCTCACACCAGAAGCGACTTGCAGTTTCTCATCTCAAGAACAGACAAGCATCCTGAGCTCTGAGAATTATTACCTGGGAAGGAATCTCACTGGAGCATTGCAGCGCTCTCAAATACCTGGGAGTCACTCTGGACCGTGCTCTGACCTACAAGAAGCACTGCCTGAACATCAAGCAAAACGTGAGTGCTAGAAACAATATCATACGAAAGCTGACTGGCACAACCTGGGGATCACAACCAGACACAGTGAAGACATCTGCCCTTGCGCTATGCTACTCTGCTGCTGAGTATGCATGCCCAGTGTGGAACACATCTCACCACTAAAAGTGGATGTGGCTCTTAATGAGACATGCCGCATTATCACGGGTGTGCTGCGCCCTACACCACTGGAGAAATTACACTGCTTAGCCGTATTGCGCCACCTGACATCCGCCGGGAGGAGTAGCAGCCAATAGTGAAAGGACCAAGGCAGAGACATCTCCAGCCATCCCCTGTTATCAGCCAGCACGTCAATGACTTAAATCTAGAAATAGTTTTCTAAGATCTACAGAGACACTCGCTGGAACACCTCAGCAAGCGAGAATCCAAAAGTGGCAGGCTCAAACCCAGAACTTCAACCAATGGCTGATACCAAATGAGAGACTCCCCTCTGGGCACACAGAAGACTGGGCGACTTGGAAGGCGCTGAACAGACTGCACTCTGGAACCACGAGATGCAGAGCCAACCTTCAGAAATGGGGCCACAAAGTGGAATCCACGACATGCGAGTGTGGAGAAGAGCAAACCACTGACCACCTGCTGCAATGCAACCTGAGCCCTGCCACATGCACAATGGAGGACCTTCTTGCAGCAACACCAGAAGCACTCCAAGTGGCCAGATACTGGTCAAAGGACATTTAATCAACTACCAAGCTTGCAAATTTTGTGTTTTGTCTGTTTGTTTGTTTTGTTCTGTTAGAAATGTAATACAATTGACTGGTTGCCCTGACACGACAAATAAATAGTGGCAAAATCCCTTGCAGTGACAACAAGTCTAAGAAAGCAACTAACCTCCAATAGGAGTATAACTTGAAACCATGTAGATGTCCCTTGCACAATGGACTTCTCCTGACATGGGAGAATTTATAATGAGTGTTGGTTTTACTAATGGGTCTATGGACCGTGGTTCGGGGTCACCACAACATGAGGAACTGTATTAGGAAGGTTGAGAAACACTCTGCTAAAGGCACAGAAACTCTGCCGGAGGGAGAGAAAAGAGGGGGAAATGATGCCGACCTTAATCCACCCTTGTTCTCCTTCTGGCTGCCTTGATTCCTCGGACTGCTGCATGGCAAAGGAGTCGGCAGTCAGCACAGGGCAAGCCCTGGGGCAACAGAGAGAGCCCCGAAGGCACTCCTGCTTCCCTTTGTCAAAGCTGGCTTTTCTTCTTCATCATCCAAAGACCCTGCTGGCAGCTCTTTCTTAAGGGGCCCTTTTTCCTGCATCAGACAAGAGAGAGAAAAAGAAAGATAGAAACAGTGAGTAAGTAGCTCTTTTGCCTATTAGCAAAAGACACACAATCACACATGGCTGTGTTTGTGGCAGTGGTTTGGGGGGCAACCCATCACAGGACGATAAAGAGCAAAGATGGCAACGGCTGGTGGGAAGAAAGAGTCACCAAAGGCATTGCCTGGCTTCAGACTCAGGCTTCCCTGTTAAAAGGATGGCAGGGCTTTATAGAATCATAGAATCAGAGAATCAAAGAGTTGGAAGAGACCTCATGGGCCATCCAGTCCAACCCCCTGCCAAGAAGCAGGAATATTGCATTCAAATCACCCCTGACAGATGGCCATCCAGCCTCTGTTTAAAAGCTTCCAAAGAAGGAGCCTCCACCACACTCTGGGGCAGAGAGTTCCACTGCTGAACGGCTCTCACAGTCAGGAAGTCTCTTCCTCATGTTCAGATGCAATCTCCTTTCTTGCAGTTTGAAGCCATTGTTTTGTGTCCTAGTCTCCAGGGAAGCAGAAAACAAGCTTGCTCCCTCCTCCCTGTGGCTTCCTCTCACATATTTATACATGGCTATCATATCTCCTCTCAGCCTTCTCTTCTTCAGGCTAAACATGCCCAGCTCCTTAAGCCGCTCCTCATAGGGCTTGTTCTCCAGACCCTTGATCATTTTAGTCCCCCTCCTCTGGACACATTCCAGCTTGTCAATATCTCTCTTGAATTGTGGTGCCCAGAATGGACACAATATTCCAGGTGTGGTCTAACCAAGGTAGAATAGAGAGGTAGCATGATTTCCTTGGATCTATACTCCTATTGATGCAGGCCAAAATCCCATTGGCTTTTTTTGCCGCCACATCACATTGTTGGCTCATGTTTAACTTGTTGTCCACGAGCACTCCAAGATCTTTTTCACACGTACTGCTCTCGAGCCAGGCCTCCCCCATTCTGTATCTTTGCATTTCGTTTTTTCTGCCAAAGTGGAGTATCTTGCATTTGTCACCTGTTGAACTTCATTTTGTTAGTTTTGGCCCATCATCTCTCTATCATCTGTCAAGACCATTTTGAATTCTGCTCCTGTTCTCTGGAGTATTGACTCTCCCTCCCAATTTGGTGTCGTCTGCAAACTTGATGATCATGCCTTCTAATTCTTCATTAATAAAGATCCTGAACAGAACCGGGCCCAGGACGGAACCCTGCTTCTGGCACTCCACTTGTCACTTCTTTCCAGGATGAAGAGGAAGCCTTGGGGAGAATCACCCTCTGGGTTCGTCCATTTATGTTGCCCAGTGCCTCACATCAGAGAAATTTGGGCAAGGGCGACTACATCTTTGTCACAACAAATCAGGGACAGGGAGAAAGGCTGCAATGTCAGCTCATCTCACAGGCACAGGCCCATTGCGACTGAAAGAAAGGGTCAGCCTTAGAGCAGTGTTTCTCAACCTTCCTAATGCCGCAACCCCTGAATACAGTTCCTCCTGTTGTGGCGACTCCCCAACCATAACATTATTTTGGTTGTTACTTCATAACTGTCATTTTGCTACTGTTATGAAGCATGATGTAAATCTATATAAATAAAAATGTAGTGTTCGTTTGTGGGATTAACGTAACTCAAAAATCAATCAAATGCTAATCAAGGTGATCAGTTGAAACATTCACACCTAGCTCCAGCAGACAAGAGTCCTTTGTCCCACCCTGGTCATTCCACAGATATATAAACCCCTTTCCTAGTTCCAACAGACCTCACTACCTCTGAGGATGCTTGCCATAGATGCAGGCGAAACGTCAGGAGAGAATGCCTCTAGACCATGGCCATATAGCCCGAAAAAACCTACAACAGTCTCAACCTGTGGGTCCCCAGATGTTTTAGCTTTCAACTCCCAGAAATCCTAACAGCTGGTAAACTGTCTGGGATTTCTGAGAGTTGTAGGCCAAAACACCTGGGGACCCACAGGTTGAGAATCACTGCCCTACAACAACCCAACTCAAAAACCACTGAACGAATTGACACCAAATTTGGTCACAAGACACCTCTCAGGTCAACAAGTGTTCATCACTCATAAAAACATTGGAAAACACAGCAAATGCTAATCAAGATGATCAGATGAAACATTCACACCTAGCTCCAGCAGACAAGAGTCCTTTGTCTCACCCTGGTCATTCCACAGATATATAAACCCTTTTTCCTAGTTCCAACAGACCTCACTACCTCTGAGGATGCTTGCCATAGATGCAGGCGAAACATCAGGAGAGAATGCCTCTAGAACATAGCCACATAGCCCAAAAAAACCTACAACAACCCAACTCAAAAACCACTGAACGAATTGACACCAAATTTGGAGGGCTGAAGTTTATCCATGCCTGCTCGGGAGGAATGCCCCACTTCTCCAGCTGTTGCCTTTTTCCCTCCCCTCTGTCCCTCAACTGTTTCCAGTCCCATCTCCAGGTACAACATACTGCTCATATATCCAAATTTTGGATAACATTCTGTGCATCTGATGAATAGGCTGCAAAAGCTGACCTTACAGGACCTTTGTTGGCCATTAAGGATCCATAGGATTGGGGTTTTGTGTCTGTAATCTGGATTCTTAGCATCTTAAACCTAAGGTTGTTCCCCTGAGACACAAAGTCTGTCTGGGTCGCCTGTCTCTTTCCAAACTCAAACCATAGGTCACCGTGTTTTTTGTTTTTCCCCCCGACAGAACTTTGAACTCCCATCAGACAGAGATAAGGAGACTGGGCTCTGGCTGTATGTGGCCGCCTTATCCTAGGGTGAAGGCATTGCTTAGTCAACGGCCCCATTTCAGAATCGCAGACGTTTATTCAGGGTGGAAAATCCAAAGGCAATCCTGCTGCAAATGGGACAAGGCCCCTGTCTTACACCACCTCCCCAATGGAAAAGACCAAGGGGAATTTCGTAAAACTGGCTGTGGTCAGTAACAAATTACAGGTTGCGCATCCCTAATCCGGCATTCAAAGTAGTCCAGAATTGTTCACCTGGGTGGCTGAGATAGCGATCCCTTTGATTTCCAACGGTTCAAACTATTCAATGTGCAAAATTATTTAAAATAATGCTTTAAAAATTACCTTCGGGCGATGTCTAGAAAGTGGCTGTGAAACATCATTGCATGTCATGTTTTGACTTGAGTGCTGTCTCCACTATATAGCATGATGTATGTATTCCAAACTGCAAAAAAAAAAAAATCAAATCAAATCAGAAATCCAAAATATTTTTGGTCTTTACAGTATTTAGAGATAAGAGATACTCTACCTCTATAAAGTATTTTGGGTTCTGTGCCAGGAGAAAGGGGAGATGAGATATTAAATAATAATAATAATAATTTTATTTCTTATCTGCTTTTCAGTAATAATAATAATAACATATGATGCAGTTCTAAGGAGGATGGACCATGGATGATGGGATTTGCAGTACCTTTACTCACTTACTGAAACCACTGCGACCCTGTTCCAATGACTGATCAAGACCAAACTTGTCACACAGAGCTCCCATGACCCACTCTGTATCCTGCTGCAGTTTGGAGGAGGGTGGACCATGGATGATGGGACTTCAAGTACCTTCACTCCCTGAAAACCATGTAACCGTCATCCAATGACCAATAGAGACCAAACTTGGAACACAGAGCCCCCATGACCCACTCTATATCCTGCTGCTGTTTGGAGGAGGGTGGACCATGAATGATGGGACTTGCAGTACCTTCACTCACTTACTGAAACCACTGRGACCCTSATCCAATGACTGATCAAGACCAAACTTGGRACACYGAGCCCCCATGACCCACTCTATATCCTGCTGCWGTTTGGAGGAGGMTGGACCATGYATGATGGGACTTGCAGTACCTCCACTCACTTACTGAAACCACTGRGACCCTGATCCAATGACTGATCAAGACCAAACTTGGCACACAGAGCCCCCATGACCATGCTGCAGTTTGGAGGAAGTTGGACCATGGATGATGGGACTTGCAGTACCTTTACTCACTTACTGAAACCACTGCGACCCTGATCCAATGACTGATCAAGACCAAACTTGGCACACACAGTCCTCATGACCCACTCTATATCCTACTGCAGATTGGAGGAGGGTGGACCATGGATGATGGGACTTGCACCTTTACTCACTTACTGAAACCACTGCGACCCTCATCCAATGACTGATCAAGACCAAACTTGGCACACAGAGCCCCCATGACCCTGCTGCAGTTTGGAGGAGGTTGGACCATGGATGATGGGACTTCAAGTCCCTTCACTCACTTCCTGAAAACAATGCGACCGTCATCCAATGACCAATAATGACCAAACTTGGCATACAGAACAGCCATTACCCACTTTCTCTAATAACCCAGGCTAGTAAATAATAAACAAAAACCTTCCTGCAGTTCCCTCTCTGTCCGGTAGAGGGCGACGTTGCTCCCGCGCGCCCCAATGCGTCCTAATAAGGAGCAGAAGAGGGGGGGGGGGGTCTCCTTTTGTCTGATCCTAGGGGGCAGAGAAGGGGGTCTTCCTCCTTCCTTGAAGCCCCCCCCCGCTCTCTCTTTCCCCGCCCCCTCTGACGTCAAGGGAGGAGGAGGAAGAAAAGAAAGAGGGAGCGCGGCAGAGGCGGAGGAGGGAGGAGAGAAAGGGAGAAAGGGAGGCAGCGCCTGCTCTTTGGCTCCCAAGTTTCTCCCTCTTGTTTTGGAAGGGAGGAAAAGCTCCTCCTGGCACACTCCTCCTTCTCCCTGGGATCTTCGCCTCGTTTCTTGGGATCTTAATCCGGTTTGGGTCTTGTTTTTATCCCTCCCCCCCACATCAATTGGGAGAAGAGGAAGAAAGAAAGAAAGAAAGGAATCTGGAAGAGGTAAGAAGCCTGGGAAGGAGGGAAGGAAGGGGTGGGGGGATCCTGTGTGTGTTATTGTTGAGATGGGGATCTATGGATGATCCGGATCTATTGTTTTCTCTCCCTGGACTCAGGCTTGTCTTGGAATTTTTGTTGTGGGGGGGGGGAGGTTTGGGGGAAAGGAGGGATTGTTGCTTTGGGTTGGGGGAGAGAAAGGAAGGAAAGGAAGGAAGGCAAAGAAAGAAAGAGAAGGGAGGCAAGGCGAAGAAAGAAGGGAAGAAGGGAAGAAGAAGGAAAGCAAAGAAAGAAGGGAGGAGGGGTGGGGAGGTAAAGGGAGAAAGAAGAGAAGGAAGAGAGGAAAGGGAAAAAGGGAGAGGGAAGGAAGAGAAAGAGGGAAGGAAGGAAAGAGAAAGAAGAAGGAGAGAAGGAAAGAGAGAAGGAGGAAGGAAAGAAAGAAGGGAAGGAAAGAAGGGATGGAAAGAAGGGAAGAAGGAAAAAATGAAGAGGGGGGGAGGCAAAGAAAGGAAAGAAGAAAGAAAGAGGGAAGGGAAGAAGGAGGAAGGAAAGAGAAAGAAGGGAAAGGAGAGAAGAAGGGGAGAGACAAAGGGAAGGAAGAAAGAAAGAAGGGAGGGAAGGGAAAGAAAAAAGGAAGGAAAGGAAGAAGGGGAAGGGAAAGAAGAGAGCGAAGGCAAAGAGAAAGAAGGGGGAAAAGAAGGGAAGAGGGGTTGGGAGGCAAAGAAAGGAAGAAGAGAAGGAAGAAAGGGAAGAAGGGAGGGAAGGCAACGAGAAACAAGGGAGGGGAGGGAAAGAAAAGGGAAAAATGCAAAGAAGGGAGGGAAGGGAAAGAAAAAAGGAAGGAAAGGAAGAAGGGGAAGAGAAAGAAGGAAAGAAGAGGACGAAGGCAAAGAGAAAGAAGGGAAGGAAGGGAAAAAAGAAGGGAAGAGGGGTTGAGAGGCAAAGAAAGGAAGAAGAGAAGGAAGAGAGGAAAGGGAAGAAAGGAAGAGAAGAAGGGAGGGAAGACAAAAGGGAAGGAATGAAAAAAGGGAGGGAAGGGAAAGAAAAAAGAAAGGAAAGGAAAGAAGAGGGAAGGCAAAGGAGAAAGAAGGGAAGGCAAAGAGGGGAGGGAAGGGAAAGAAAGGAAGAAAAGAGCTACCCTCTCCCTCATTGCAAAGGGGAAGAAAGAAAGAGGAAAGAAAAAGACCCCTCGTTGCAAAGAGAAAGAAGGGAAGGAAGGAAGGAAGGAGCAACCTCCCCTCCATTCCATTGTTTTGCAATGAGGAGGGGGCCTCCCTTGTAAACAAGCCTCCCCCAGCAGGCTTTTGAACCCCTTGAGAGACCTTCCTTTCCGCCCCAAATGCYAAAAAGGATATTTGCATGGTTTTTGCCTTGTTTCCCCCTTTCTTTTGGGGGCTTTGATGGGGTTGCCTGGGGTCAGGACCTCTCTCATTTGTGTGCATCTGTGTTGGTATTGCAACGTGTATTTATCCCCCCCCAAAGGTGACCCCCCCCCCTTCCCTGCGTTTTGGTTCCAATGCCCTTTTTGCAAAGGAAAAGCTAGCTTTGCCAAAGTCCAAACCCTCTTCCTTGTTTCCTCCCTTTGGGTTTGTTTTTGCAGCTTGGCACCTAAGTTTGTTGTCCTCCTCCTCCTCCTCCTCCAAACAGGTTTGTCCTCTCTTGTTATGTTTTTATTCCTTTGCAGCTGAGCAAAGAAAGTCCACACACCCTCCTCCTCCTTTTTTTTGGGGGGGGGGGGATGTGTTTTGATCAGGCTCAAGTTTCTCTTCTGGCTTCCTAAGCCTCCTCCAAAGGAGCCCATTCTTCATGTTCCAGAAGCATTCTCTCCTGACATTTCGCCTGCATCCATGGCAGGCATCCCCAGAGGTTGTGAGGTCATTGTGTTGTTGTTGCTGTTGTTGCAGAGGAATCCCATTTAATTTCTAATAATAATAATAATAATTGGGTTGTTGTAGGTTTTTCCGGGCTATATGGCCATGTTCTAGAGGCATTTTCTCCTGACGTTTRGCCTGCATCTATGGCAAGACTCTTGTCAGTTTGAGGCAACTCATGTCTGTTTGAGGCAYGTGTGATTGTTGCCATGGGCCAGCTTGATTAGCATTGAATAGCCTTGCAGCTGCAAAGTCAATCAGTGAGGGTATCTGCATGAGGCAAATGGACTGTATATATATATCTATAGAATGATGTTCAGGGTGGGAGAAATAATTCTTGTCTGTTGAAGGCAAGTGTGATTGTTGCCATTGGCCAGCTTGATTAGAATTGAATAGCCTTGCAGCTGCAAAGTCAATCAGTGAGGGTATCTGCATGAGGCAAATGGACTGTATATATATCTATAGAATGATGTTCAAGGTGGGAGAAAGAACTCTTGTCTGTTTGAGGTAAGTGTGAATGTTGCCATTGGCCACCTTGATTAGCATTGAATAGCCTTGTAGCTGCAAAGCCTGGCTGTTTCTTGCCTGGGATAATCATTGGTTAGGAGGGGAAACTCTAAAATCAGGACAATAAATAAAGTGCAACACTCAGAAAACAGAGGAATTCCTGACAGGAAACAACCAGGGCCAGCTATCACCTCCCGACAAAGGAGATCTGATAAATATATTGTTATTATATTGATGGTATATGCTGCTTTCCCCTTATAATTATATTATAATTATATTATAATATGTAATAAAATAATATTATATTATAATATAATTATATTATATTATTATAATAATTAATGTTATTATAATATAATAATAATTCATATAATATATAATAATAATATATTATTATAATATAATAATATAAGAGACCCAAAGCGGTTGTGATAGTCAATACAATGGACAATGTAAAGCATGGAAACACTGCTGAAAAAACTGCCCTCGGCTTATACTCGAGTCAAAAGTTATTTATTATTTTACTCTGTTATTACTATTATTTTTATTACATTTATTATTTTCCTCTTTTATTGGTATTACTACATTTGCATTATTTTACTCTATTATTATTCTATTACATTTATTTTACTCTATTTATTATTATTATTATTATTACATTTATTTTTTACTGTAGTATTATTGTTATTACATTTATTATTTTCCTCTATTATTCATATTACTATATTTGCATTATTTTACTCTATTATTATTCTATTACATTTATTTTACTATATTTATTATTATTATTATTATTATTACATTTATTATTTTACTGTAGTATTAATATTACATTTATTATTTTACTCTATTATTGGCATTAGTACATTTGCATTATCTTACTCTATTATTATTTTATTACATTTATTTTACTCTATTTATTATTGTTATTATTACATTTATTATTTTACTGTAGTATTATTGTTATTACATTTAGTATTTTACTCTATCATTGGCATTATTACATTTGCATTATTTTACTCTATTATTATTCCAGAAGCGACTTGCAGTTTCCCAAGTCGATCCTGACATGACAAAAAACATCAACTCTATTTATCATTATTATTATTATTATTATTATTATTATTATTAGTAATACATTTATTATTTTACTTTATTATTATTGGAAGGATACGTAAGCGCATTGACACTGTAAAAAGTTAGAATGATGGTTTAATCAAAGTTGGTCAGTCTTATTTTAAATTACACTTTTATGTAAACATTGAAAAACATTTAATCTACTATTTCCTCAAGTAATGTATCTATATTTATTTTGCATTACCAGTAGCTGCTGCATTTCCCACCCTCTACTTATATTCGAGTCAATAAGTTTTCCCATTTTTTGGTAGTATAATTAGGTGCCTCGGTTTATATCCGGGTCGGCTTATATTCGAGTATATACGGTATATCCCAGTTTTATCTCTTGACTGAGACACAAAGCAAGAGATCAGTGGTATCCATATCTATATCAATATGCATATCCAGCTTTTTCTCACTATTCCTCAACGCTGGGGCAATAGGACATCAGATTAGGAGGCTTGCTCTTAAGGATTTGGGGGGATTTGGGGAGTTGCAGCAAAGGAAAGGTCCGAGGAACTTCCCAGTTTGCAAACAGGACCGTGGAGAAAAGGAGAGTCTTGTACACACATGACCATCTGGGATCCTTTTATTCTCTTCCCCCGCCCTGTTCTTTCTATTCTTTCTCCTCCCTCCGATGTTTTCCCCCCTTCTTTTTCTTCCTGCTCTTAAGTAATTCTAGAACTGCAAACAGATCCCCAGGGCTTGTTTACATCCGACAAAGAAAGGCAGCGAAGCCATGGAGCTCTTTATTATGAGTCTCTACAAAGGGAGGAGATTGTGTCTCTGTCCTGGCATCTGATCACACAAGTGGCATCGCTTATTACCAAGGTTGCCAACTGACCCCAGCCCCAGTTTGCTCCTGCGCCTTTTTAATAACACTGGAATGCCCTCTGGAAAACAGAAGGAGCTTCAGGGCTTCCGGAAACACCACCAAAGCTGATTTGCATCTTCTTCGCTGAGGCAGAGGAGCAGTGGGGCGTTGGGAAGTTGGCAACTCTGTACAGAACAACCCAGTGGGAAGCTGCGGGTATGTCTTTGTCATGTACCGTTCGACTTAACTCTTTGTTGATGATGTGAATTGGGTTGTTGTAGGTTTTTTCAGGCATTCTCTCCTGACGTTTCGCCTGCTTCTATGGCAAGCATCCTCAGAGGTAGTGAGGTCTGTTGGAACTAGGAAAATGGGTTTATATATCTGTGGAATGACCAGGGTGGGACAAAGAACTCTTGTCTGCTGGAGCTGGGTGTGAATGTTTCAACTGACCACCTTGATTAGCATTTGATGGCCTGGTAGTGCCTGGGGCAATCTTTTGTTGAGATGTGATTAGATGTTCTTGATTGTTTCCTCTCTGTTGTTTTGCTGTTGTAATTTTAGAGCTTTTTAATACTGGTAGCCAGATGCAGACGAAACGTCCGGAGAGAGTGCCGCTACAACAGGGCCATATAGTCTGAAAAAACCTACAACAACCCAGTGATTCTGGCCATAAAAGCCTTTGACAACTCTTGTCTTTTGGAGCTAGGTGTGAAAGTTTCAACTGACCAACTTGATTAGCACTTGATGGCCTGGCAGTGCCTGGGACAATCTTTTGTTGAGAGGTGATTAGATGTCCCAGATTGTTTCCTCTCTGTTGTTTTGCTGTTGTAATTTTAGAGTTTTTTTAATACTGGTAGCCAGATACAGGCGAAACGTCAGGAGAGAATGCCTCTAGAACATGGCCATATAGCTCAAAAAAACCTACAACAACTCAGTGATTCCAGCCATGAAAGCCTTCGACAATACGATGATGTGAATTGTTTGTGGATTTAATGCTGTGGACTGCTTGTCTCAGAAAAGTGTTTTGAGTAGCAGTGCGGATGGCAAAGTTTCTTTCCTTCCTATCTCTCTCTCACATTCATTAAACCAGAAAGCACAGTGATAGTACACAAACCTGAGAAATGCATCTAGACTATGGAATGAATGCAGTTTTGATGCTCCTTGAACTGGCTCGAAACTCAGTGCGATAGAATCAGGGGAGTTGTAGTTTCGCAAGATCTTGTCTGCCAAAGAGTTCTGGAGCCTCACCAAACTCCTGGGTTTTTGTAGCATTGAGCCTTGGCTGCTAAAGTGAAACTGCATTATTTCTGAAGTGTAGGTGCGCTCTTTGTCCCCTAATCCACAAGTTGATTGTGGGACTCACTGCCACAAGCTGTGACATAAATATGTCAGGATCAGACAGATTTCTGATTGCTCTCTTGGCGATTTTGGGAGCCTCCGTTTCCAGCCCCTTGCTGTTTCTTGGTTGTTCTTTGGAGAATCATTGTTGGACGAGTACAAGTTGGTTGGGTCATCATCAGGATTGATGGTCTGTGTTTGCTGGCTGAGCAAGGAAGAAAGGATGAGGAGCTGGAGCTGATAGAGGGAGCTCATCCACCTCTCCCCGGATTCAAACCTGTGGCCTGTCGGTCTTCAGTCCTGTCGGCACAGGGGTTTAACCCACTGCGCCACCGGGGGATTCATTTTGTCATTTGGAAGTTGTAGTTGCTGGGATTTATACTTCACCTACAATCAAAGAGCATTCTGAACTCCACCGACGATGGAATGAAACCAAACTTGGCACACAGAACTCCCACGACCAACAGAAAACACGAAGGGTTTGGTGGGCATTGACCTTGAATTTTGGAGTTGTAGTTCACCTACATCCAGAGAGCACTATGGACTCAAACCATGATGGATCTGGACCAAATTTGGCACGAATACTCAAAATGCCCAAATGCGAACACTGGTGGAGTTTGGGGGAAATAGACCTTGACATTTGGGAGTTGTAGTTGCTGGGATTTATAGTTCACCTACACTCAAAGAGCATTCTAAACCCCACCAATGATAGAATTGGACCAGACTTCCCACACAGAACCCCCATGCCCAACAGCTCCCTATTTCTCCTCTCCTATGTTTTTCCTTCCTGCTCTTGGCAACCCATTGGACACCTCCTCTTGAGCCCCCCCCCCCCCCCCCCCCCCCCGGTATCCTGACCCCGTGGTTGAGGACCACTGTTCTAGCTATTTCTTCTGACTTATGGTAATCTTAAGGGGAACCTATCATGGAGTTTGAATCCTATTCTCTAGACCAGGCATGGGCAAACTTCAGTCCTCCCTACAGGTGTTTTGGGTTCCAACTCCCACCATTCCTAACAGCCTCAGGCCCTTCCTTTTCCTCCTCAGATGCTTAAGCCTGCAGACCTGAGGCTGTTAGGAATGGTGGGAGTTGGAACCCAAAACAACTGTAGGGAGGGCTGCCCATGCCTGCTCTAGTGTTCCGATCACCCCGCTGCACTACAGTCTCCCTACCTGAGCTAGCCAGAGTGGTCTCAGGCCTGCTGTTGGAGTCTTAACGCCTCTTTGTGCTTTGGAATGGAATGCATTGGTGGGGTTTAGAAGCCGTCCTGAGTTCCCCTTCGGGGGTTGAGAAGGACGGGATAGAAATGCGAGAAATAATAAATAGAGTCATAGTTCAATTCTCAACCTGTCAACCAAGGACTGTGCCTTGCACAAGCATCACATGACATTTCCACTAGTTTCTGTGTAATGCCTGCCACGTGTGTTGGACTACAACTGTCACTATCTCAGAAGCCAAAGTCCCACCTATGCGGAAGGGAATCTGCTTGCGGAAGGCTACTTTTGGTTTATCCTCAAAGCCTACACACGAAGAAAGGAGCAGACAAAACTCATCACAGCTTCTCTTCTATGTTTTTTTTTTAATTGCATTCCCTTTTGAGGCTTGCCCTGAATCCACAGGACGCTTCGCAAAGCCTGTCCGGCTCAGGATGACTTTTGACGGAGACGATTACCTCCTGCCAACAAAAGCAAAGCGGATGCCAAGGGAAAGGCTGCATCGAGCGTACTTGTATTTGGTGGATCTTGTGCTCCAGTTTGTGACCCATCACTAGTGTTCAATTGCAGCCGATTTTGGGAAACAGCAGTATATTCCTCGTCGCCAGGGGGCACCCACCCTTCCACTATTTTGTTCCCTCTTTCCCTGTTGTTTTCGTTCAAATTTCCCTTTTGGAGCCAGGATCTGAGAAGCGGAGTCGGATGCGGGTTGGGGAGGAGGAGCCGCCGCAGCCCTGCTTTTCCCCCCCTCTTGATCTCCAGAGAGCCCTTTCATCTTGCTTGGGTCTTTGGGGGTGGAGTGGCCACGTGGCCTCTAGAAGTGGCTTCCAGAAGGGCTCTAATTTAAACACACAAAGGGTCGCATGCCAAGTACCGTCTCGGGCAAAGAGGAGGAGGCATATCAACCTCACCATCACTGTGTCTTGAATCCTCCGTTCTGCAGCCAACTCAGCATGACATCTGTGTGTGAGTGGTTTTCTCTCTGCTTTCAAAGGCTTTGAAGCTGGTGGCCAATGGTTTTTTTTTGGGGGGGGGGGATTTGCTGGGGAGTGCAAGTTTGGAGAGCTTGGAGCCCTGGTTCGCAGACCGGAGCCAGCAGCCCACTCCGGATGGAATCTGTGCATCTCCAGATGACAGATCTGCCTCCAGCAGCAAGGAGAAGGGGATGCGTGACAGGAAGGGCAGCGGCGGAGCAAAGCGCTCCCGGGTGGCTTAAAGCAAGTGAGTCAAGCTGTAATGGAGCAGCTGGGAGAAGGGTGGTAATTGCTCTTTGGTCTGTGATGCAACGTTGAGTCAGGGCACATTTGCATTGCAGAGTTATGTCAGGTTGTTTATTTATCATATCAGAAGCGAACCGAGGGTACCGTTGTAATGTATTTAAGTTTTAAAATTTGGCATTATCCTCAATGTCCTTTGACCACTAGCTGGCCACTTGGGGTGCCTCTGGTGTTGCTGTAAGAAGGTCCTCAATTGTGCATTTGGCAGGACTCAGGCTGCATTGTAGCAGGTGGTCTGTGGTTTGCTCTTCTCTGCACTTGCATGTTGTGGACTTCACTTTATGGCCCCATTTCTTAAGGTTGGCTCTGCATCTCGTGGTGCCAGAGTGCAGCCTGTTGAGCGCCTTCCAAGTCACCCAGTCTTCTGTGTATCCAGGAGGAGTCTCTCCAGTTTGTTTTATTTATCGTGTCAGGAGCAGACCGAACAGTTGCGTTGTATTTTTTAACAAGCAAACAAACAGACAAAATACAAAGTTTGCAAGCTTTGTTAGCTCCTTAAATCCAGTAATACCCAGCTGCAACCCATCTCCTGCACACCTCCACCCCTAATTGCTTTCACCCATGAACTCCCACTTACAGATTACCAAACCCTCTGGAACAGTGGTTCTCAACCTGTGGGTCCCCAGATGTTTTGGCCTCCAACTCCCAGAAATCCTAACAGCTGGTAAACTGGCTGGGATTTCTGGGAGTTGTAGGCCAAAACACCTGGGGACCCACAGGTTGAGAACCGTTGCTCTAGAACTTTCTCAGTTTAAGAATCTGTTGTCTGGCGGGATGTTTTGAGACTCACTGCAATATTTTAGAGGTGGAGGAATCTACAGCTAAGGCAGGTAGCCATTTTGTTGGCAGTTTTCTGGGACTATGAACAGTATTTTTTTCAATTGTGTGTTAATGAAAGCCCTCTGCGTGGAGTCTTCCTCCCTGACTTGCCCAGTGAGTGGGCTCTCTCCACATGATCCTTGACCATATGGCAGAGGAACCTTTGACCTTCCATTTGTTTTGGAGAACAGCTTCCATTGTTCATGGGCATTGGCTCTGCCGGATGCAGGTTGACATCCCGAACATCTGGAAGGACAAAGGCTGCCCAAGGTGGATTTGGCACCAAGCAGGGAGCCAGATGTTAAGGATCAGAATGACTTCTGCCACCCAAAGTACTTTGTGCATACTCCTTCAATAAAGTTTATGACCCCTTTGCAAAGTTGTCTAGGTTAGTACCATTTTGCAGGCAGAAGGCGGACGATGAGAAAAAAGCCAATTCCTACTGAATGGAAGAATTAAGATTAGAATCAAATTCCAGGTTTTTTATTTCTGCCCTTAATCAAGTTAGGGAATGAACGGTGATGGGAAACAATGCATTCTTGGTGGTGGCTGTCATACTCCAGAGCAGGAACCCCTCTGACCTCAAACACCACACCAACTTGGTAAAATCAGCAAGCAGTTTATTGAATAATATAAATAGGGAAAAGAGTAAAATTAGCAAAAACAGTAAAATTCCAAAACAAAGGTTAATCCATTAGTTTCAAGGCAAAGCAAGATCCATAGGTATAAAAATCCATGAAACAGGCACGCGAATCCATGAAATAGGGCAGCATGAAAATCCAATACACAAATCAGGACCTTGGCAAAACTTGATACATGAAACTAAGAACACTTGAAAGCAAGACGGTAATGAAATTCCAACGTTGACCCAACTGAGGCAACTCTTTGCCATGAATCAATATAAAAGTTTTCCAGATCCCAAATCCGAATGAAAGCATTTCTCTTGTTCAATGTATTGTCGAAGGCTTTCATGGCTGGAATCACTGGGTTGTTGTAGGTTTTCCGGGCTATATGGCCATGTTCTAGAGGCATTTTCTCCTGACGTTTCGCCTGCATCTATGGCAAGCATCCTCAGAGGTAGTGAGGTCTGTTGGAAGTAGGAAAATGGGTTTATATATCTGTGGAAAGACCAGGGTGGGACAAAGGACTTTTGTCTGCTGGAGCTAGGTGTGAATGTTTCAACTGACCACCTTGATTAGCATTTAATGGCTTGGAAGTGCCTGGGGGAATCTTTCTTTGAGAGGTGATTTGAGGTCCCTGATTGTTTACTCTCTGTTGTTTTGCTGTTGTAATTTTTGAGTTTTAATACTGGTAGCCAGATTTTGTTCATTTTCATGGTTTCTTCCTTTTCTGTTGAAATTGTCCACATGCTTGTGGATTTCAATTTCTCTTGTTGATCTTACCACCAGATAAAGGTTTCTTATCTCTCTTTTCCTGTAAACAAACTGATCTGTGCACCCCTGAGCACTCTGTCTCTGTTTATGAAAGCCTTGCTTTCTGTCTACACTCTCATTAGCTTCTGCACCTGACAATTCATCATACAGTTGCTCTGAGAAAGACCGTGAAGGGCCTCTCCCAGGAATGTGACCTTGTGAATCTTCCAGAAACAGCTTGGGCCTCTCATCTAAGTTTAACACAGGCTCAGGCAAACCCTCATCCCCATTGCCAACAGATCCAAGCCCGTCATCAGGAACATCATCCCCATTCCCATCATGAACACCAGACACAATCACAGGCTGAACAGGCTGACATACAACGGTGGCTCCATTATTCTGGAATGTTTTCCCTTAAAAGCGTGTCACTTCTTTGGAATCAGCCTAAGCTTCTTCTATTCTGTGTGGTGTTTCGGTACTTGGGGTCTATCATTGAAGTCCCTCTGGTATGGTTTGTTGTGTGTTGTGTGCTTTGCTGCATTGGTCTGTGTCCACTTGGGTTTAATACTGTTCTGTATTTTTATTGATTTAATGATCCTGCTTCAGATTTTATTAGTGCTGTATTTAATTGAATGGGACAATGCTGACAGAATGTGTTTCCTGATGCACTGTCCATGTGGAAAATCTTCCATCACCAACTCATGAAGAGCACACTCCAAACTATCCCTCTTTTGCCTCTCTGCAAGCACTTGCATAGCGCAAACCTGAAAAATGTAACTGTAACCAAAAGTCCCAGGTTCAGCCAACTCCCCAGGCATAGCCTGACCAATCAGCTTTATGCATCTTATTTTACAATTGGCACACGCACTCACACACACTAACTGATTTTTTACATGCTCCAACAGATATTGCAATTGGCCACCTTGGTTAGCATTGAATGGACTTGCATCTTCAAAGCCTGGCTGCTTCCTGCCTGGGGGGAAAAGTGCAACACTAAAAAAAGGGTAATTCCAGAAGGAAACAATCAGGACCAGCTAACACCTCCCAACAAAGGATTCCCCCAAGCAGGAAGCATCCAGGCTTTGAAGCCGCAAGGTCATTCAGTTCTAATCAAGGTGGCCAATTGCAACATTCACACTTGCCTCAAACTGATAAGAGTTCTTTCTCTCATCTGGGACATCATTCCACAGATATGTCAACCTCATATGCCTAGTTTCCAACAGAGTTTGCCCATGCCTGGGCTAGACTGATCCCTCCCTTTCTGCTCCAAGATTATCTGAATCTTGTGATATCTTCGAGTCTTAAACGGATTTATTTTAGCACAAGGTTTTTGTGGTAAAAGATGGACATTGTCGTTTGGGTCCACTGAAATTTGGAGTTTTGGAGACAGAGCAAGATGAGCATTTTCCTTGCTTTTGAAGCCTTCCTTTGTCAGGCGGAGAGGATAGAAGCTGAGCAGAGAGTGCGGATGCCAGTCCATCTTGTTCGTTCTGTGGCAACTTCACTAAGTGTTTGCAGATGTAAGGTGCTATCTAACTGTAGCAGCTGAATATATTTGCATGCGAAAGCAGGATGGGTTAGTGTGTAATTGAGACGTACCTAAATGTATTTGCATTAGTAAGAGGCTCCAGCAAGGAATGAGCTCCCTCCTCCGGACCTGGTGGAGGGAGGTCGGCATTAATTTGAGTGCTTGTACAACCTTTTGCTTGCTAGAAGAAGGGATCGCCTGATATCTTTGATGCTGCCGCTTCTTCTTCTTCTTCGCACATGCAAGCCTCGCTTTCTCGCCGCTTGGTAATCCCACGCTAGGCAACAGATGGAGGAACAGACTCCCTTGCCAGAGAGGTGAGGAAGCTCTGTCTGTCTGCGCCGTTTGACTTGCGATGGCGCCTTCATTCGCACGCGCAAGGTGCCGCTGGCGATGGTGCAAAGTGGTCCTTGGTGTATCGCAGGCGGATGGATAGTCGCGTTACTAGGGGGTTCCTGACAGCTTGACAAAAGTGTTGCCTGCCGCGTTGTTTGGACGGCGTTTTCCAAAACCCAATATCCGGTAGTTATTTTGGATTGCAGTCCATCAGGCCCAAGGGGAAGGGATGGTGGGAGATAGGGGACCAAAACTATTTATGCAGATCTCTATTGGCTCATCTTGGTGGTCCAAATATACATGCCATATACGCTCGTGTATAAATCAAATTCGTATGTAAATCACAGGGAGGTTTAGAGGCCTAAATTACAGATTTTGATATGCTCCATGGATGATGATGATATTGTTGATGATGATTATTATTATTACCATCCTCTCCTTGCAGCTTGAGGTGAGGTACAACAGGATTAAAATCTATATCTATATCTATCTATTGATTCCTATCTTTCTATCTATCTATCTCTATCTCTCTATCTATATCAGTGTTTCTCAACCTGGGGGTCGGGACCCCTGGAGGGATCGCGAGAGGGTGTCAAAGGGGTCACCAGAGATCACCAGAAAGCACAGTATTTT